CTTATCTTTATTATTTTAATTAAGTAACTTTTTAAAAAGCTTTAAAAATTATAAGATTATAAGAGAGATTAAAATTAAAATAATTAAAGTAAGGGTAATTATATTATAATAATTAAAGCTTATTTTATTTTTTAATTATATAAGATATAAGAGATATAATTTTAAAGCCCCTATTCCACGTAACGTTATTAATCGCGTTACAGGTAGGCGGGGTTCCCTAACCACCTTACAGTTTACATCGGCACCATTAAATAGCAGCCTATCTATAATCGTGTCCACGTTAAATTAACATGCCAAGTGCAGTGGCATATCTCCTGTATCTGTAATGGCGTTGATGTCATCACCTCGAGAAACCGGTAGATCGACAATATTCGTGCCAGTCCACTGGTTTTGGCTACCAGGTGGACGTCCATTCCGCACAGTCCTCAGCACTTCAAGGTAGGAATCCATGTTAAAGCTTGAAACACTTGTGCCGCTAGAGGAGGAGAGGGAGTGACTAGAACGAAGGGAAAGGCGGATTTTTCTCTCGATGCACGCTTGCACTCCCAAAGTAAACACTCTCAATGAGGGGTCTAGATCCTCTTCACTATCATGAGTTTGGGGAGGATCCGTGACAGTCCACTCCTCTGGCCTGCGGTAAAGTATAGTACGTTGTTGGCTCATATTGTTTTCTTGGCACCGGAACCCTTTTTGCCCCATAGCGAGAAGATGTAAAGGCGTGTTATGTCGATTGTCTAAAGCAGAGACATTGAGATTCTTGTCGACCAGCGTCGCTACTAGCCCTGGGGATCCAAAAGCGGATGCATAGTGAAGGAGAGTCCTCCCTGCGACGTCAGTTGCCTCCACATCAACTCTGTCATCGCCAAGAAGACGGGAAATAAGCCTATCAAGTATATGGGAAATAGCCAGTTGCTTCTCGCCCGGGACCGTAGCTGGAAAGAACCTCCAGTTGTCCAGTTGGACGATGAGGTCATGTGCGAGTAGCCACCGGTGGTTGTGCATGTGATTTTATGAATTGGCGAAGAGCTATGTCCACAATTTCATCAAAAATGGTTTTATTTGTGTCTTTGAGGTGCCTGGACCAGAGTGCCGATGCATACGGAATAAACTTCTCTGTATCCGAATCTTTGTCCGGAGCAACGGCTACGAGAAAAAGGTAGGAACTGCAGCTTCTTAGGAGGGTGCTCTCGCACTCTTCGGGGATGAGCATATGATGGAAAACACTGAGAGTTTCTTCTTTTGACTCTTGTTGCTGAAGCAGGAACTCTCGAGCGGTCTGGTGAATGAGATGGACTCTAGACCGAATAACGCGAACAAAATGTTCGCAGGTGGACTTGACGTAATTCTCCATCGGGTGCTTTAGGTTCATCTTGAGATCCTTGAAGGTGAGTGCTGTAGATCAACAGCAAACCAAGATAAGTGAAGATAAGACCACTGCTTGCATCACCTCACTACGACGGTTAAAAGCCGTTTATCTTCCGTAGTATAGTGGTCAGTATGCAAGCTTGTCACGCTTGAGACCCGGGTTCAATTCCCGGCGGGAGAGCCACTTCCCTTTTTTGCCCCTTCAGGCAGGGAATTTTCTTTCCGCTTCCCTCTCTTAACTTTAAAAAGTAACTATCGTGTGGTTCGTGACTACGGCGCGTGTCTTTTTCTGCTACATGCAATAACTGCAGAATATGCGACGCCGATAACTCTCTTTCATGTCAAGTGCTTTGGCCTTTGTTTTTTTTACCATGGGTCGGCAACAAACAGTTCCCACGTCGTGCCGCGATAGTCTGGTGGATGCGGTTATGGAACTACTTACTACCTACGTAGCTCGGACTCCCCTTTTACCGCAATTTCAAACTAGTAAAAGAAAGAATTCCACCTCTCTTTCTCCTTTGGCTTATAATTAGTGCATAACTTGGCGCTACCTGGTGTGGCTGTCACCGGTGCGCGGCCTAGGGTAGCCCAGTCCACATGACCCCACCTCTCTTTCCTTCTGTGGTCCTCTCGGGACCGAAGCTGTGTCCGGCCCGCCGAGTGATTTCCATGTTCCGTCGGCCGCACCGTGATGCCAGCAAATGTACGGACTACGGAGCACCAATCCTCGGGACAAAGCGTCAAGTGTATCTAAAAACATTCTTCTAGCCCAATAAAAGTTTAAGAACTCACAAGTCTCCCCTATCAATGGCCGTGTTCCACTCGGAAGCTCCCCCTTACCTCCTCCGCATTGTGATCCCGGAGTGAGGCTTGGCACATATATTTACAACCAAAAATGGCTTCCAAACATAGAATCGCCATTGTCGGCGCTGGTCCCGGTGGACTTTGTCTCGGCGCACTCCTCCAAAAACAAGGGATCCCATATACCATCTATGAACTGCGTGACAAACCGTCAGACAATATCATGTTGATTCCGTCTGGCATGCTGGATCTCCACGACGATTCAGGCCTAGCTGCTATCCGAGCCTGCGGGCTCTGGGACCAATTTTTGGCTCTCACCAACGATTGCAGCGAAGATACCCTCATCATGGATGAGGAGGGCAATCTTCACCACGAGGATTCTGGGTCTGGTCGTAGCCGACCCGAGGTGGCGCGCAACTCGCTCACTCAGCTTCTGTTGTCGGCCAACAACCCCGAGGCTCTTAGATGGAACCACAAGCTCCGCAGGGCAGCGAGCAGTTCAACCGGCCAAATTACGTTGGACTTTGGTGACAATGGCACCTTTACACACGACCTTGTTGTCGGAGCAGACGGCGCGTGGTCCAAGGTTCGGCCTCTCCTGACCCATGTCGAGCCTCAACACGGCGGCATTTATTACACGACGCTGCACATCCCCAACGCCTCGGAGCGATATCCCCATCTCGCAGGCCTCGTCGGAAAAGGTACAGGCTTCATTCTCGGCGGCCAAAACGGCCTAGTCACCCACCGAGGCGTCGGAGGGTCCATCTGTCTTCATGTCAGCGCTTCATCCTCCAACAAGGACGACTTTGCCCAACTCAAAGACAATACCGATCCTGCCGTCGTCCGAGACATGCTGCTCAATGACCCGAAGCTGTTCCAAGCATGGCTCCCCGCATTCCAAGAGCTCATCAAGACGGCGCTGGACAACGAGTTGACGCCCCGAGATCCCCGGGTCCTGAATATGAGACCGCTGTACATGCTTCCCGTTGGGCACGCGTGGGAAAATACGCGAGGCGTGACACTGATGGGCGACTCTGCGCACCTGATGATGCCGTGGGCCGGAGAAGGCGTCAACCTTGCCATGCGTGATGCGCTCGAGCTATCCAAAGCCATCGTGAGCGCGTGGAACCAGCCAAACTTCCAAGAAGCTAGCCAGTTGTCTACGGCCGAGTATGAAAAGGAAATGTTTGCCAGGACCCGCGCATCCGCCGAGGAGACGTGGTCCAATTCGAAGCTACTGTTTGCTGACAATGGGGCCAAGGCCATGGCTGATTTGATGGCCAGCTATGGGCCGTCCCGTGAGTAGGATCCTGTAGGGTGGATTGTATGTATGAGGAGATGAACCATGAGGTAATCAAGTAGAGGATAGACGCAAGACTTTTAGATACACAACGCCTATTAGAGACGAGTTATAAGACTCTAATTGTTATTCACAAGTAACAAACCGTGCCGCTTCACCATGGATAAAACCAGGTGTTAATTCCCATATAAATGTCAACTTTCTCATCTTGCATTCGCCACAGCCCCCTTTTTGGGCCGATAATCGGCCAGCATCTCATACACTGGCTCCGAGTTAGACCCCAGTTCGACAGGCGGCGCTTCCGTGCTGCCCATCAGTTCGGCTGGGGGCTTCGCTCCTGAGTGCGGCATCTCATGGCCTTGTTGCTCGTGGGGGAAAGTCTGGTAGCTGTCCTCGCTGTATGCCGGGCTATCCTTGGCATATGCCTGGCCAGGCTGGTGAATCATGCCCGAGGGCGGCGTCTGCGGCGCACTCATCTGCTGCTGCCGCGCCATATCCATCTGGTCGGTCACCGTGGGCTTTCGTCTGGCTCTCCAGATGACAAAGGCGGCGATACCGGCAAGTATACCCAGCAATGCAAGAACACCGATGACGATTCCAGCGATGGCACCCCCGGATATACTGCTTCCTCCAGAAGAACCACCGCCGCCGTCGCCGCCAGCACCGGTTGCTGCTTCTCCTCCTCCTCCTCCTCCTCCTACTCCTCCTCCTCCTTCAGAACCACCAGCACTACCGGCACCACCACCTCCACCACCTCCACCGCCATTTTTCAAGACTATAGTGCCAGAATCTGTACCGCCGTTCAAGCCGGTTACCGCAGCGTCATTCCCAGTGGTTTGACAGACGTCCGAGTATTGAGATTGAAGAGCCGAAAGCTCCGTACACCTGGTCAAGACGTCCCTTTTTTCGCTACACCATGAAGAGACCTGGGTTTGATAACGACTCGCCTTGCTGGTGAGGCTATCTGGGAAGCTGATGCCGCCGGCGTTTGTCCGCGTGGCAGCCTGCTGCATGTAGCTTGAAAGGTCGGGAGGCGGTGTCGGGACATCGACAAGATTGCGAAGAACAGACGAGCATTCCGGTGAGCCATCAAGTCCAAGGCCGGTCTGTCGAGGGAAGACGGCCGCAAATGCTTGTTTGTCAGTCGGCGTCGGAGCCAGCCCCAACCTGGCCGCCACTGCGGCTTGGGAGAGCGCGAACGCCAGCGCCGCGGGGATAAGAAGCATGGTGTTTTGTGACTCTTGTTGGCGAGGGCTTCTCTCAGGTCCGCAAGAGACTGCGACTCGGGGTCGGAAGGGTGCAAGTGTGAGAGATTTGGCGACTTTCCCGGAGCGCTTTTTCCAAGGGACGAACAATACACAGCCCCAAAACCCCTTGCCCGGTCTGTCTTGGGTTTTTTTGGGGCCTACTTACTGAGATTGAATCCAGCGTCATCGGTGGTCTGAGGGAAGGTGTCTCCCCTCGAATCCTAGTAGGTTACTGAATCATGTTGACCCCTGAAGCATGATTTGACTCGACGAGGGCTAACCCGAGTTGGAAGCTTGATGGACACCTGGGTAGTCTGCTAAGGCCATCTGGTCTTGATAATTGGTTTGGACTAAGATCGGAGCAAAGAGTCGGGAATCGGGAATGGAGCGTCTTCTGAGCTTTACATGGCATGCTGAGTTGGCGGCAAGTTGGGCGCGTTGTGTGTCGCGCAGTGATCACTGCGAGCCAGCCAACAAAAAGAGCATTCAAGGTTCAGGAACACGTGGGCGGGCTTCCTCCACATCAGAAGGTTTTCCAAGCCATGCCGAGTGCTTGTTGTGGCTAAATAGAGTGTCCCGTTCCTGGCAGACGGTGGATGGAAATGTCTTCCCTTGTGCTGTTTGTTGTACATACAAGTACAGGTTCACCTATTTTTCCCCCCCCTGCATTGCGTGAGTAAATTCTGGACCCCAGAGAGAATAATACACAAGAGGCAATGGTTTTATTAACATTCCCGAATTACGTCATTGATAAAACTAAATCGCTCTCTAGAACAGAACTATGCAACGTGTATGTGCTGAAAAGTAGTGGCCCGACTACACTATTATGAGCAAGAAAGGGACCATCGAACGAGCCGGCCGCATCGGATCAAAAGGCAGATTCTAGATCTTTTCCGTGTTTTTCTCCCGGCGCTCAGCGCTGTCGGAGTCGTCGATTATACCATGGCGGAGTGCCAGGGTGCAGTATGTGCCGAGAATTTCTGCGAGATATCTCTCTCTGTTTTTGAAGTGATCGGGGCCGACTTCGCGGGCCATCCTGTTGGCATTGTCTAGGAGAATTTGTTGGAGGTCGGCCGGAAGAGCCAGGAGGCTCTCGGGACTGATGGAGAGTTCGGTCTGGTCAGTCGCGTTCCCGCCCAGTGCCTGACACACTCGTGGATCTGCAATCATGTCGGCGCAGTATTGGTGAATGAGTGAGTGACGAATCAAGAATTGAAGCATTTCCCCGAGTGAGCTTGGCAACTCGGAGCACCACGCCGGAGGAGCTTCGGGGTCCTCGAGGCTCTTGACCTCCGACGCGGCCGCGAACTCGAGTGCGTAGATGAGTTCGTCCCGGGCCATGGCTGGATGGCCCTCGGATCGCGTGTATCCAATCATTCTTCGCCACCAAATGTTGCAGAAAACGGAGGATATGATGACGGGAATAAGGATGACATATCCCCACCATCGAGTTGCAGTGATCATGGAGCCCACTCCGCCAAGAATTGTGGCCGTGCCGTTGATGACGGAAAACACTTGGACCTTGCGCGCTCTTCGTTTGACGAGGGCCGTTGCGGCGCACGAGCCGAGGAGATTCCGCGACGCGCTGATGTGGCGCTGGGCTTTGGTGAAGATGAAGGCCGCCCACGACGAGTTGCAGAGGCCAAAGAGGGCAATGGGCGTGTTGCCAACGTAGCCAGAGAGCAGGTTGGACGCAAGGAAGACGGAAGGGTTCGCGCCTCCAATGGCCATGTAGGTGCCGACGCATATCAAGATGGCGCCAAAGCCCATGAGGAGGTCCATGATCCATCGCGTCACTAGCTCGGTGCCAAGTTCGCGAAAGTTGATGGCCAAGAGGACGTCCATCTCCAGTGTCGATTCGCATCCCGCCTTGAGCTGCCTCTTCTCCTCCAGCAACAGCCGTCTCTGCGCCCTCAAATACCGCACGTTGCAACACGCGCGCTTGGCGTCCCTGAAGGCGAAGATGGACAGGAAGCCCGCCACTGTGCCCCCAATGGCCATGAAGACAATGGCGTAGATGGGCACGGGGATGTCGTTCCACACGTTGGCGGCAAAGTCGCCCGCGTTGGCGAGCTCCATGAAGCCAACCGCCCGCGAGAGGTTGTTGATCAGCCTCCCGTCTCTGGCGAGCGCCCACTGCCCGCCCTTCTGCTTGACCAGCTTCACCGGCGGCTGCCGATGATGAACAGCCGCCGAGACTGAGACTGAGACTCTGTGCTCAGTGCTGGCTCTGCCAATTGCAGCCGGTGTTGCCCGTTGCGGTGATGGTGCCGCTGGCACAGCCTCCTTGACGGCACACATTTCTGGGGTCGATGACGGTTCCTGGGCCCCGGGCGCAACGCCGTCTGCAGACAAGGTTTCCTCAGTGGACGACATGCTCTTGTGAAGCTTAAACTTGCTTGTGCAGATTGAAAAGGGTTCAATCCCAAGTCATGGGCGGAATGCAGGGTCCAGAGAGGACTGACAGAACGTCCGGCGTCTCCCACCGAGTGAAAGGAAGGAACTCAGCAGCACGGGAAAACACCGAGAGAGGAGAGGAAAATTCGGATGACGGCCACGTGTCTGGTACCTCGCAATGTGCGCGAGACAGGGTGGTACTCTAGGTGGTATTTCAACAAAACCAGAGCTGCCCTCAACCTTCCCACTGCTCGTTGCGAGCCGCCGCAGACGTAATAAACGCTCAAGACCTTGCGAGGCGTGACAAGACGGGCGCGACAATGTTCCTATTTGCCTCTTGATAGGCATGGCTCAATTGCTCTGGGGTCGCGGCTGGCTGCCAGCACTCTGGGACCACCGCGGGCTGGGAAGCCTCTCCATCCCCCCCCCCCCAACCAAAACCCATCATAACC